TAGTTGTGGAACAGCCATACGATGAATACTATTCAGCAACAAAAAGGACTCAACCATGGATCTGCAGCGACATGAATAATCTCATACACTTTTTTTGTTGTTATTGTTATTTTTTGGAAACAGAATCTCACTTGGTCCCCTTTGGTAGAGTGCCATGGTATCACAGCTCACAGCAGCCTCAAACTCTTGGGCTCAAGTGATTCTCTTGCCTCAGCTTCCTGAGTAGCTGGGACTATAGGTGCCTGCCACAACGCCTGGCTGTTTTTTAGAGATGATTCTTGCACTTGCTCAGGCTGGCCTTGAACCTGTGAGCTCAGGAAACCCACCCGCCTCAGCCTCCCAGAGTGCTAGGATTACAGGCGTGAGCCACCATGCCTGGCCTTCAAAATCTCTTAAAAAGATACTATATCACAGATAAGGCTTGGCACAGTGGCTTGTACCTATAATCCTAGCACTCTGGGAGGCCAAGGTTGGAAGACCACTTGAGTGCAGGAGTTCAAAACCAGCCTGAGCAAGATTGAGACCCTGTCTCTACTAAATATAGAACAACAACAAAAAAACCCCTCAAACTAGCTAGGCATCCTGAAGGGAGGCACCTGTAGTCCCAACTACTTGTGAGGCTGAGGCAAGAGGATCACCTGAGCCCAAGAGATTGAGGTTGCTGTGAGCTGTGATGATGCCTTGGGACTCTACTCAGGGTGACAGAGTGAGATGTCACCTCAAAAAAAAAAAATGAAGGAAGGTAGACGAAAGACGCCAGACATAAAATAACATCTATTGTACAATTTACTTATATGGAATGCCTGTAATAGGCAGAAACATTAAAATCCACAATGACAGAACATAGGTCAGTGTATATCTGGAACTGTGAGTGGCATGTGGGTTACAGGGTCACAGGGGAACTCAGGGATGATGAAAATGTGCATTAGTTTGTACATAAGATGCAGCTAACTGTCCATGTAACATTTTATTCAGGTGTTATACCTCAAGTTTATATAAGTTTTTCTTGTTTTTAAAAAAAAAGCTTTAAAATTCATTGTCAGAAACTTTGAAACAGCTTAGAAAGACAAGTCGATCCTCTAGAAGGCGTAACTATGGCTGAACAGAACCTAGTTTGGTGAAGTTGATCAGGTAGTGCCTCCCAGCTCTCTTCTCTTCCTTCTTCCCACCTCGAGGGCCCCCAAATATTTTGTATCCCATTTAAAATTACTTTACTACGAACAAAATGACATCTACCTCTTTTTCCTTCGGCCATAAAAAATTATCTATATGGGATTCATGGAGCCTTTTTCTCTTTCAGTAAAAGACAAATGAAAGTAAGAACTGAGTGAATGATTTCCTGCTGATTTGGCTAATATGTATCACTATCTAGTCAAGGCAGGGAGAGGGTCATGGTTTAAGGAATGCAAGTACAGGAACGCAGGGTTGTGGGGTGCTGGGGGTTCAGTGCTCACGTTTCCTGCCTGGTGGCTGTCTGTGTGGCAGGGAGCTGAGAAGGGGGAGCTGAGTGGTCTCAAGCAAGGTTTTTATAACAAGTGCAGGTGCATCTGGGTAGCAGTTGTGATGAGCAGGAGTCTGCAGCCCCAGGTGTCTTATTACACCTGCCCACACTTAACAGTCTTTCTCTTTGATTTTTTCCTCTGTATTTTATTTTTTTTTATTTTTTTGAGACGGAGCCTCAAGCTATCCCCCTGGGTAGAGTGCCATGGCATCACGCTCACAGCAACCTCCATCTCCTGGGCTCAAGCGAGTCTCCTGCCTCAGCCTCCCAAGTAGCTGGGACCACAGGCTCCCGCCACAACGCCCAGCCATTTTTTGGTTGCAGCCATCATTGTTGTTTGGCGGGCCCGGGCTGGGGATTCGAACCCGCCACCTTAGGTGTATGTGGCTGGCGCCTTAGCCGCTTGAGCCACAGATGCCAAGCCTGCCTCCGTATTTTAAAAAGACTGCATTTTCAGTGACACTTTTTAATGACTTGCCAACTGGCACAAGACTTAGCCTGGATTCCCCCCAAAATATAGCCTGAAGCAGTTTAAATGGTATGGCTTTATTGGGGTGCGCCCTACCAGTGAAAACAGGAGTGAAGGCAAAAAGGACGTGTAGAAAGAGAGGGAGGGTCTGTTGTCAGGCAGAGTGGGAAGGAGTGTGACGCACACTGGTCCATCTGCCTCTGTTGACCATCGCAGAGGGTAACTCAGAACACCTCTCAGGAGAAAATGGAGGCAGAATCTTCATGCACCAGGGCCATGTTAAATCTATCAGCTACAAGTCCACTCTATAGCTCTCTAACATGGTTAGCAGACCCTGTGGCGTCTTAGAGCTTGTTGTCAGTTGGGAAGCTGAAGGGTGGGGAGTCAGAGGCGAGCCATGTGGAGATGCCCATGTGGAGATGCGGTGAGTGGTCAGGCCTTGTTCCCAGGGGAAGTCCATCTCAGCTCCTGCAGACCAGGTGCTGAGGCAGCAGCCGGGGGCGGGGGGCACAACACAGCCAAGAGCCCAAAAGATGGACTGAAGCCGAGAAGGGCTGAGGTGGTGTGCGGAGGTTGAGTGATAATGATTGAAATGTGGTTTTGCAAGTGTTAAAATAGTGTGTAGGGGGGTAATTCCTGCTATGTTTTTGGCTTTATTTCAAACTGTTTATTTTCTTCTTCTTTTTTTTGGAGACAGAGTCTCACTATGTTGCCCTTGGGAGACTGTGGTGGCATCACAGCTCACAACAACCTCAAACTCTGGGGCTTAAGCAATTCTCTTGCCTCAGCTGGGAATGCAAGTAGTGCCTATAGTCCCAGCAAGTAGCTGGACTACAGGCGCCTGCCCTCCACAATGACTGGCTATTTTTGTTGTTGTTGCAGTTGTCATTGTTGTTTAGCAGGTCAGGGCCGGGTTCAAACTCACTAGCCTCGGTGAATGTGGCTGGCTCCATAACCACTTTGGTATGGGTGCCATTGTCATTGTTTACCTTTTATAGCCATGACTCCCAGCAGGGTGTTCCTCCAAACCAGTGCAGGAAAATAGGAGAAATGTGCTGAACTATGAATGAGTGTGTGTGTGTGTGTGTGATAGAGAGAGACAGAGAGGGAGAGAGAGAGAGAGGGAGGGAGGGGGAGAGGGAGAGAATAGGTATCATTTTCCAGATAATTCCATTGCACATTAACAGAACACAGAATACAAAGCTGTTGTGAATGGACTTTTCCAGAAAATAATTAGGGAGCTATATTTATCTCTGAACCTTTCAGGTACTGTGGTCACATTTTCTGTTCCAAAAATAAAATTGCTGATTTTTAGAAAAGGCAGTGGTATTTAAAATTAAAGGAACGTGCCAGCTTGAGAATGGATCTAGATTTAGATATGGACGATAGAAAAGAAAGGCTTAAGCTTTTAAGAAAAAAACGCGTCTATGCAGGGAAGTAGTTGTCGTTAACCATTCATTAAGTTCTGGAACATCTGGAAGAATAATACAGGGCACAAAAAAAGAGCCTGGTTTGTTAGGTTTGGTGGGTCTACCCGCAGGTGAGATTGCACGCCCACCTCCCTGAATACTGCAGAGAAACTTTACTGAGGATTATTCATGAAAAAAGAAAAAAAACAACTCTCTCTCTCTCTCTCTCTCTCTATATATATACGTATATACAGAGACAGATGTAAATATACACGTGTACACTTGCATGCCCACCTCCCTGAATATTGCAGAGAAACTTTACTGAGGGATTATTCACGAAAAAAGAAAAAACAACTATATAACACACACACACATATATACAGAGAGAGACAGATGTAAACATACACGTGTGCTCACACACATACATATAACCTATGGCCTCAGGTGAGCAACGGATACACAGGGCAGACCGTTCTGGGTCAATGAACCTCAGGTCTTCTCATGAGAGGAAAGGGCGTGGGCCTGTCACAGGAAAAGGACCCTTGCTTTATATAAAGACCTACAAACAGCTGTGGGCTGCACCAGACAAGCAATGCTATTTTATTTTAAATCCCTGGAATGACAATCCTGGGTGTCTAATCGGGTTTCTGCTAACCACTCATTATAATTGTGTTTATGTGACCGGGAAGGGCTGCGGACTCCAAGACACTCTCAGGAGTGAGGGTGACGGTACGGTTTAAAGAACAGATCTTGCAAAATGGTCATATTTTATAATAAATGATCCAGCCGCCATGCAAGGGGCTGGGAGATGGGTCAGGCGGGAAAGCCCGGGGGTGGGGGCAGGGGCGGGGATCCCCACGTCGCCATTCAAATGCTCAGTGGCTGTGGGGGCGAGAGGCTCCCACCGAGGTTAGGCCGGAGGAACAGCGCTATGTGCTCGGGGCTCCTGGCCTTCCTGCTGCCAATCTGGCTGTCCTGGACCCTGGGGACCCGAGGCTCTGAGCCCCGCAGGTGAGATTCCCGGGGGCCCATAGCCTCCCGCCGAGCGGGCGCGGTAGGGCGCAGTGCCGCGGGCGGAGACAGCGCGCCGCACCCACCGGCCTCGGGCCGCGCCGCAGCCGGGCGGTGGTCGCGGTGAGGGGCCCGACTGCAGGGTGTGCGGGGCAGCCGGGAGCGTTTCCCTCCCCGCGGTGCCTGGTGCCCTCTCGCTCGCACGGCTGCAGGGTGGTTTCGCGGCCGTCCTCCGGCCCTGCCCGCGCCACGCAGTCGCGGTCCCCGCTCGCGGCGTCCGGCCCCGGCCGGCCCCGGAGCTCCACGGTCCCCGCGCTCCGAGGCCACCGAGGCGGAGTGCGCGCCCAGGGCCCGGGCCGCTGGGCCGCGGCGAGCGCGGGGGACG